CAAGGTATTCTTTTGCAAGGTACTGGAATGTACGGTAAAGAAAATTCGGTTCCTTCGTAATAAAATAAAAACGCAAATTATGCAAATACACAGATTTAAAAAATGGGTTCCTAATATGAGAAAACTATTTTTTCTGTCTTTTTTCACACATTCGGCATATTAAATCTGTTTCTTCAGCACCGCAGACTTGGTGGGCTCACCGGTAACACTTTGCACGCTAAAACAAAATTGGGTACCTAATACGAGACTCTTCTTATAACAGGAACTTCCGAGGGTCTCATATTCGGAAACAATAACACGATAGCTATTAAGTAGCTTCGAGATGAAGTCTTCGTTATTTAACGATACGCAACTAGTAAGCCTTAAACTCCGTTGCATGCACTGTACAACAGTATTTATGAAAATGATTATAAACTTACTATTCTAGAGGTATTTGTAATTTAATCGAACCAAGTAAGTTGTTACAATGGTTATAACTATAAAACGAAAAAAAAAGATAGGATTGTGCTTTCAATCGTTTTCGCCATGTGAGTCGATCACGCCACTCTGTTATCCATTTTAACCCTAGATCGGTCTTCGGGTCTTTTCTGACCCACCGCCTTTTTATATTTTTAGTCATTTTTGCTGTTATCAAATTTACGTTCCCTAACATTATTTTAAACGTTTATTGTCTAGGTTCATATGTCGCGTTGGAAAGAAAAATTGTTACACATAAGGTCTTAGGTCCTTTTTCACCCAAAAGTCTTAAGTGTACAGTCAAAACGAAGACACGTATAGAAAAGTACATATTTGTCGTTCGTTAGTTTTTCGTCTACATATGTCGATTATTTAACGTCGAAATAATAAATTGTTTCGTCCTTGTGGATCAACTGACATTCAAGAACACGTTGCAATGGTTTTTACTAGACTATTTCAATACATAAGCAGAATCTTCACATAAATTGCCACGGGTGTCGATTGGGGCTCTTTGTTCCGCTGGTTTGGGGCCGGTTCTTACTTTTCAGCCGTGAGCAATAGAGTGTTTTGCCGGGCACATCGGGGCACCACGTGCGCGGGTCCAAATAGCCTCTCGAAAACATTTCCTTTTTTTTTACTACATTTACAACTTAATCTCTGAAACGTCGACGACTTCACGTCTTATCCACGCGACTTCATTGTTCATCGTTCCATAGTTTGCCAAATGCGTCGAGTCGTGTGATGATTTTTAATATTGTTAGAAAGTTAATTAATTATATTAGGTTTAAGGTTGTTAATAAGTATAGATCTCAATAAATAAGATAATGTTCATGATTTTTATACCTACTGGTTTAGTTTTCTTTTAAAAATAATATATTTTAGTTGATGTGAACCTTAATAAATAAACATTATTCATAGAATTGTATTTTATTTCATCAGAAATTGAAATACTTCACCGAGAAGCAACTTTTTTTCCTTTGTAACAACTAATCCCAAGGCTGTAACAACTTGCCCCACGATGACGTTAGAAGTTGCAAATAAATGGCTCCCTACGAAAAACTAATTGCAACATATTAAATGTAAACTCGGAATCTTAAAGTACGATAAATTTAACAATAGATTAGTTAATAGTGAAGAAAACAACTACATTATTTCTCGGTCATTTTAAAATTGTAAATTTTAGCCCCAGTATCCCCTACTACAGAATACTAATATACACTACCGGCCAAAAATTTGGTATCGCCTGCCAATTTACATCAATACTGAATCCGCTGCTAATTCTTTATTGATTTGGAATTGATGTTGTGGAGATCAATAGCACTTTACCTCATTTCAATTGATTTGAATGATGAAAAATTTGTTCAAAAATTATTATAAATGTTAACTTTTTTCTTTTTTGAGAATTTTGGTGCAACATGCAATGCACAGTGATTCCAAACATTTGGCCGGTAGTGTATATACATCATGTTTAGAACTATCTATTGCAGTGAAAACAAAATTAAACAGTTACCGATAGGCTTTTGTCAAAATTATTACATTTTGTTTCAGCAAATAAAGGTATTATTTCGTCTAAAAGCATTTCAACGTCCACTAAAAATATGTCAAAATTTTATAACCTTAAAGCAGAAAATGTAGCTACATGTTATCTAAAATGAGAGAACATACGAACCCCAAGAAATTTGCCAGTCTTCACAAATGTAATTTTAATCGACATTTTACCACCACTAATACAGATCTGTTTTGAAAGTGAAAACTCGATTGAAAATTGCTCACGATAAAGATGTAGAAGCGAATGGCCGTCATATCGTACGCTACTCTTGAAAAAGGAACTATATTTAGATTAGACTTTGGCTCGTTGCCCATGCTTCAAATATTTTCCGTTTAACCGTCGAAATGGTAAAAGTTTTCGAGGCCACGCGGCCTCATAATTATCGTACACGAATTAAAACCGTTTGACGTAAAATGCAGGGCTAAAAATATTTCATACGGGTTTTCACTTTTCGCTCGAGATTGTGACATTGCGTATGGTATGTGTTACGTCAACTGTACAGATATGAAATATCGTAGTGAAAAAAACATTCTCCTCGCGAAGTCCATATTCTCAAATATCAAAGTTGGGAATATTTGGAAGAACAAATGAGTTAAACTAGCTTCTATGAATCGGTATTCGAGAATGCTTTGTGAAAGAGTTATAAGGAATAAATGTTTCGTTGTTCATTTAAGGGGATATTCTAGTCTAGACTTTTCAAAAAAATCGATTTTATTTTTTTACATTTTCTCAAAGTAGACATTTGCAGAAGTATAACTGTCGAAGGATTTTTCCGAATTCGTAAAATTGACGAAGTTATAGATGGATAAAGAAGACGACATGTAGTACGTGGTCGAAAGTATACCATTCTCGTGTAACTGGTATGAGAAACTTTAAACGCGTTTTTCTCGAAATGTTTTTCTAAATGGCTGACATGATATCTCAAGTTCTAATTGTCCGATTGACTTCAAATTGTCAAGTGGATGTGCGGTTATCGTCTGAACCAGAATTATGCCAAAATATACATTTTTCTGATTTTTAGAACCTCTGAAAGACGAGAAAAAGTCGACAAAATCGATACACAAAATTCAAAGTGCCGTCATTTTGTAAATTTTCACTATTTTTTTCTCATTCTGGTTCACACCATAATCACATTCGTACTAATCAAGAACCCTTTTGGTTTTTTCATTTCGGATAAACAGAATGGGCGGAATCGTGTCAGTCAGTAGGACACTTTTTTTTAAAGGGACCGCACTGAATAATATATAATTCAGACAGTTTTGATTATTTTCACTTGAAAAAAATTGTGAACTTTCTTAAGACACGAATAAATACGTATGCAAAATGTCAACACTGAGAAACTTATACTTTCCTTACAAAAAAATCCCTAAGAAGGACTAAAAAATGACACTCTAGACTAGAATACCCCCTTAAGCGAAAATCTACGCTATTTGTTGATTCCATGATTTTGTAACATTGCAAAGTTATCGCGTCACCAAGTTATCTATTAGCACCATTTCGTAATAACACATATTTAAAAGTTAATTCTTATGTAATGATATACAGGGTGTACCGAAAATTAGTCCTATAACTTAATTGGCTGCCATTTTGGCACGACGTAACGCTCTAACTGTTAGTTGGTATTTGAGAGTTGTGGAGTAGACACATAAAAAATTTATCATCGAGCGTTATATTTATCGTAGAAACTTATATTGCATATCAGTTGCGTGTAAGAAAATTACGAGGAAAATTCGATCGAAATCACGTGCCTGATCACCCGAACGATTAAACATTTGACCGAGAATTTCCGGGAGTTTGGTACTGTGGCAGTTAGATCATATTCTGGCCGTCCCTGAACCGTTAGCTCGGCTGAAAATATTCAAAGCGTGCGTGATAGTGTTGAACAAGAACCGAACACCTCTGTCTTATCACGCGAAGTGTACGACATGTGATACGATACAACTGTTGAAAGACGTTTCCAGGCCTTTTGAACTCCACAGACATCGATTTGTCGCCCAGATTGCTAGACCTGACAGTTTCCAATTCCTTTCTTTGAAATTTCTTGAAGAGCAAGGTCTACGGTGATAGACGAACAATAATTCGACAACTTAACTCTTTGGGGCATAGTGGGGTAAAAAGTGTCCCACCTTGTTAGTACTTACATATGCACAGTGGGATGTTTTTCATCCCACCTTGAAACATTAAGAAGATAAAACTAATCTAATTGAACCTGTTTTCACAAATTTCATGGTGAGATTATTTATGCCCCACCTAATAATTAATTATCTCAACATTTTTTTTTTTTTTAAGTTCTACTTGTTTTATGTCGTAATTCATACCTACTTTGTTACATTTTTTAAAAATAAAATTCCTGTGCAACTAGAGTCTGTTTTTGTCTTAAAATTCTGTGCTTCAAAGAGTTAAAGGAGAATATTCGCCAAGAAATTAAAAAACATTACCGCGAACGCCTTCAGAAATGTCGTGCAAAATGTTCTCCAAAGAGCTCGAATTGGTGTCGCGAATAAAAATGGCGGACGATATCGTTTCCCACGTTTAACTCCAAAGTCTCGATAATTAATATTCC